GGTCAAGTGTCAAGGTTCCGATTGCCCGCCCATGGTTAAAGGTATAAAAAACATTATAGGCATATATTGAGCTAGTTTTTATATTTATTTGTGAACTCCAGCCATCCGTGTCAAGCGTCAAGGACCCGATCGCCCGTCCATGGTTATAGGTATAAAAACATTATGAGCGTACACTCATTAGTTTTTATATTTATTTAAGTCTCCAGCCATCCGTGTCAAGCATCAAGAACCCGATCCCCCGTCCATGGTTATAGGTATAAAAACATTATGGGTAAATACTTACTAGCTTTTATCTATTTCTAGTCTCCAGTCATCAATGTGAAGCGGCAAGGACCCGATCGACCGTCAATGGTTATAGGTAAAAAAAAACCATTAGGGACATATACACACTAGCTTTTATCTATCTCTAGTCTCCAGTTATCCAGGACAAGCATCACGGTTTCGATCTCCCAGCTATGGTTATAGGTATAACAATACATTATGCGCATTTACTCACTAGCTTTATTATAGTTCAAGTCTCCAGCCATCCAGGACAAGCATCAAGGTTCCGATCTACCAGCTATGGTTATAGGTATAACAGAACGTTATGCGCATTTACTCACTAGCTTTTATCTATTACTAGTGTTCAGCCATCCAGGTCAAGTGTCAAGGACCCGATCGCCCGGCCATGGGTATAGGTATAACAAAACGTTGTGGGAATATACTCACTAGTTATAATATATTTATAGTGTTCAGCCATCGATATCAGGCGTCAAGGTTGCGATCTTCCAGCCAAGGTTATAGGTATAACAAAACATTATGGAAATATACTCACTGGTCTTAATATGATTTTAGTGTTCAGTCATCCAGGTCAATCAACAGGATTCTGATCTCCCGTCCATGGTTATAGGTATAACAAAACGTTGTGGGAATATACTCACTAGTTTTAATATATTTATAATGTTCAGCCATCGATGTTAGGCGTCAAGGTTCCGATCTTCCAGCTATGGTTATAGGTATAACAAAACATTATGGAAATATACTCACTGGTCTTAATATGATTTTAGTGTTCAGTCATCCAGGTCAATCAACAGGATTCTGATCTCCCGTCCATGGTTATAGGTATAACAAAACGTTGTGGGAATATACTCACTGGTCTTAATATGATTTTAGTGTTCAGTCATCCAGGTCAATCAACAGGATTCTGATCTCCCGTCCATGGTTATAGGTATAACAAAACGTTGTGGGAATATACTCACTAGTTTTAATATATTTCTAGTGTTTAGCCATCCATGTCAAGCGTCCAGGTTTCGATCTCCCAACCATGTTTACAGGTATAACAAAACGTTATGCGCATTTACTCGCATGCTTTTATCTATTACTAGTGTTCAGCCATCTAGGTCAAGTGTCAAGGTTCCGATTGCCCAACCATGGTTAAAGGTATAAAAAACATTATGGGCATATATTGACTAGTTTTTATATTTATTTGTAAACTCCAGCCATCCGTGTCAAGCGTCAAGGACCCGATCGCCCGTCCATGGTTATAGGTATAAAAACATTATGAGCGTATACTCATTAGTTTTTATATTTATTTAAGACTCCAGCCATCCGTGTCAAGCGTCAAGAACCCGATCCCCCGTCCATGGTTACAGGTATAACAAAACGTTATGCGCATATACTCACTCGCTTTAATATACTTCTAGTGTTCAGCCATCCAGGTCAAGCATCAAGGTTCCGATCGCCCGTCAAAGATTATAGGTATAAAAACATTATGGGCATATAATCACTAGCTTTGATATATTTCTAGTGTTCAGTCATTCATGTCAAGCATCAAGGTTCCGATCACCCGTCCATGGTTATAGGTATAACAAATCGTTATTGTCATTTACTCACTAGTTTTGATATTTATTTCTAGCCTCCAGCCATTCAGATCAAGCGTCAAGGACCTGATCACCCCTCCATGGTCATAAGTATAAAACAACATTATGGGCATATACTCACTAGCTGTAATATACTTCTTGTGTTCAGTCGTCCAGGTCAAGCATCAAGGTTCTGGTCTCCCCGCCATGGTTATAGGTATAAAAAAACATTATGGGCATATACTCACTAGATTTAATATATCTCCAGTCTCCAGCTATCCGGATCAAGCATCAAGATTCCGATCTCCCCGCCATGGTTATAGGTATAAAAAAACATTATGGGCATATACTCACTAGATTTAATATATCTCCAGTCTCCAGCTATCCGGATCAAGCATCAAGATTCCGATCTCCCCGCCATGGGTATAGGTATAAAAAAACATTATGGGCAAATACTCACTAGATTTAATATATCTCCAGTCTCCAGCTATCCAGGTCAAGCATCAAGATTCCGATCTCCCCGCCATGGGTATAGGTATAAAAAGCATTATGGACATATACTCATTATTTTAATCTAGTTCTAGTCTCCGGCCATCCAGGTCGAGCTTCAAGGTGCTGATCTCCCGTTATATGGTTATAGGTATAACAAAAATCGATGAGCAATCACACTCGGCTTTATTTATTTCTAGTGTTGAATCCACCAAGATCATGCTTCACGGATCCGGATTCAGTCCGTGGCTATAGGTATACAAAAACTCGATGAGCAATTACTCATTGGATTTTATATATTTCTAGTGTCTACTCATCCACGGCAATTATCAGGATCCGATTTTCATGAATTGTTATAGCTAACCAAGTTTCCTTTAAACCTTTACTTAAAACAAACTATACTCTTTATTTATACTTTCTTTTGATGGCAAAGAACGATGATCAAATATACATCCATTATGGAAGGTATACAAGTCGTTCTTGGCCATTACTAACCTAGAAGTATATATGACTATTGTTTTTACTCTCCAGGCCAAACAGCAAGGATCAAAACTCAAATTTGGGCTACAGGTAAACAAGTCTTCTTGAGCTTTTACTTACTGTCATTTATATATTTCTAGTGTTTTTTTTTCCTTAAAGTTCAAATATCAAAGATCTGATTTCAAATCAAGGTTACGGGTACACACTTTTCTCTCTGTCTTTACATGCTTTCTTTCGTATTGGCCTAGTGTGTTTACGATCCGGCTACACAATGAAAATTTTGTTTTCCTTCCAGTGCGACAGGTATATACATCTAGTTCGGCCTTTAGTTACTGTTGGCTTTATTTCTCTACTTGCTTCACAGTCCAAGCCAGCCATCATGGATCCTATATCCGTCCAGTGTTACAGGTATACACTTCTCTTTGGGATTTTACTTACTGTCGGTTTTAATTTTCTACTGTCCTTAAAGTCAAGGCCAACGACCAATCATCTGGTATCCGCCGAGAATTACAGATATAAAAATGTTATTGGGCCGTTACTTATAATTGTTTTTGTTTCTCTAGTGTCCTTGCAGTCAAGGGTAACGAGCAAGAACCCGGTCTCCATATTGGGATATAGTGTTACACATCTCTTTGATTTTTGACTTGCTGCAAACTGTATTTTTTCTCGTGACTTTACAGTCAAATTCAACACTCAAGGATCCGGTTTCCATCAAGTTTTACAGGTATACAAATCTGACAAGTGCTTTTATTTAATGTGTCTTTTTTTTTGTCAAGTGCCTTTACTGTCTATGCCAATGATTCCGAATCCGAGCCCTATCCAGAGTGACAGGTATACAAATATGTTTGCGTCTTTACTAACTTTTAGTTTTATATGTCTAGTGCCTATACGGTTTAGGCCGAAGAACTAGGACTTGATATTCATCCAGACTTGCAGATATATATTTTTCGTTGGGCCGTTGATTATTGGCTTTTTTTATCCGTCTATTGTTTTTACTGTCAAGGGCAACCATCAAGGATTCGATCTCCATCCAGTATGACAGGTATACACTTTTCTTTGGGTTTCTACTTATCGCTTGTTTTTTTTTGTCTAGTGTTTTCACCGCCCAGGTCGAAGAACAAGGATTTCTTCTTCATCCACGGTTACAGGTATACAATTCTCTTTTAGCCTTTGCATAACGCTTGTTTGATTTTTCTAATTTCATTAATGTCTATGCTAAATAATAAGCATCTACTCTCCATCTAAGGCCATAGGTTTAAAAAATATTTTTAAGTATTATTTTACTATTTATTAATTAATTAATTATTATTTTTTAATTTTACACAGCCAAGGCCAATCGATCCAGGTTTACTGTCCTCTAGGGTAACAAGTATATGTACATACCTGATCGTTTACTTACTGCTTGTTTTTTCGAGTAATTTTTATTTAGTCAAACTGAATTACCAAAGTTTTGCTATCTACCTAGTGCCCGAAGTATACAGGTCTCATTTAGTACTCACGTATCACTTATTATTTTGTCTAGCTTTTTTATAGTTTAAGCCAGCAATCGGGTTTTTAATCTCCATTAAGGATTAAAGGTATACATGACTATGTGAACCTTTACTTACTAGCTATTATATTTTCTAGTCTTTTTACAGGAAAGGCCCACAATTAATATGAGTTGTTTATCCGGGGGGGGAAGGACAGGTATACAAATCTGCCAAAAAATCTACTTACTATATATTTGCATAATGTTTTTACTGCCGAAGCCAACGATCAAAGCTTTGATATTCTTTTGGGCTCACAGGTATAAAAGTCTCTTTGACTTTTTAGGTACTATCAGTTGTTTTGTTCTAACCCTTTCTTCTCCGTAGCAAGCGTTCAATGCTCAGCTCTACATCAAAGGTCGCAGGTATACAAAAATCTTTAAGCAATTTACTAAAAATTAGATTTTCCTAGCGTTTACATAGTCAAGGCGAAATGATCATGTTCTTTCTATCTATTCAAGGTTCTAGGTACACACGCACATTTTAGCATTTATTCTTCACTGGTTGAATCTTTTTAATCTTTGACAGTCCATGCCGAGAATCAAGGTTGCACTTCAAAAAATAGGGTTAAGGTATACATGCCTTTTTAAGCATTTACTTACTACTAGCTGCTTTATTCAAACTTTATACAGTCGAGACCAAAGATCAAGTGCCCGATTTCCGCATAGATTTACAGGGATACATGTGTCTTTCTTTACCCATTAACATATTGCTAGCTGTTTGAAGCAGTCTTTTTACAGTTCAATTCAACGGTCAAGGTTCAAATCTCCATCAAGAATCTAATATACAGCCCCTTTTTAGTATTTACTTACTGCCAATTGTGTTTCTTTAGTCTACTCGCAGAAAAGGTTAACAATCAATATATCATTCTCCTTCTTGAATGTTAGGTATACCAGTATGTTTAGGAAAGTACATATTATCAATTGTAGCTCGGTAGTATTTTTACAATTGAGCCCAACACTGAAGACTCTATAGTCCATAAAGGGTTACAGGTATATATACCTCTTTGTTGATTTACTTACCATTAGTTGTATTTGCTTAATTCTTTACAGTCCAAATCAATGTTCAAAGTTCAAAGTTCAAAGTTCAAAGAAACTTTTTTATCTGAGCTACATGTGTATGAAAGTCTTTGAACACATGTTTACTATCAGTTGTATTTATTGCCTTTTCATATCCAAATCGAATTAACAAGGCTTCATGTTGCACCAAGTGCCACAGATATACAATTTTAATTTAATTATTTTCTGACTATCGGTTATATTTATTTACATTTTATCACAGTCAAGTCCAAATATCACGGTTTTACTATCAATCATGGCTCACATATATAACAATATTTTTTTTACTGCCACTTGTTGGTATCTAGTGTATCCACTATCAAGGCCAGGAATCCAGGTTCTACTTTACAGCATGGATTAAAGATACATAAGCTCCTAGGATATGTGTGTATCAACAATGACACTTATCCTGTGTTTTCACGACCAAAGTCAGCGATTAACGTTCTTCTTTACATAATCGGTAACAGATATTCAAAATTTTACGAGCTTCTATTTACTGTTTATAGTAGCTTCCTACTGTTTAAAACATATAACGTCAAAAGTCAAGGTTCTGCTATCAATCCAAGTTTTCGGACGTATAAGCCTATTTAATATCATTTTTCTGACGATTTTATCAAGTTAATTTTCTTGTTGCAACCTAGGGGAACACTCACAATATCACTCTCCATTAAGGGCTATAGGTAGAAAAAGAATTGAAATCTGTTCTTTGAGCTAGTTTTAATTGCCTAGCGTTTTCATAGTCCATGCCAGCGGCCAATGTTTCGCTTTCAATCTAAGGTTACACATGCACAGCTTTATTAAAGTATTCACCTACTGCATGTTAAGTTTGTCTAGCTTTTTTACAGTCAATTAAAATAGTCAAGGTCACACTTTCCATCAAGATTTATAGGTGTACAGGTTGCTTTAGACGCTTGTTTACAACCGATTTTATCTGTCTAACATTTTCACAGTCTACGCTAACTACCATAGCTCTACTCCACATAATGAGTCACCAGTATACAACTTTGTTTGAGTTTTTCTTATTGTCGATTGAAATTGATTGGATTAAAAAATAGTCAATACCAAGGATCAAGACCTCTCTACTCACCAATTGTCAAATTTACCCATAACTCTTTAATTCTTATATCAATGTCAGTAGTATTTCTATAATATCTTCATAATCGATTTCAACTTTCATGTTTTGGCTCTCTACCTAGAGTCATAGACGTATATGTTTCTCTACATAATTTTCTACTGATTGTCTTTTTCCAATTAACTCACCCGCAAACATAGATCAAGTATACAATCTCTATCAAAGGAGAAAGGTAATAAAAAAAATTCATTTGAATATGCTCTTACTGCCATTTTTGTTTTCTCAAGTTATTTTAGCCAAGGCCAACGATCAAAATCCTACTGCCTATCAATTGCCTCAAATCTACATGTTTTTTTTAGCATTCACTTTCTACTAGTCCAGCTTTTTCTAGACTTTTCACAATCCAGGGCAATAATTAAGGTTTTACTATTCATCTAGAATCGCAGGTATGCGCTGCTCTTTTAATAGTAACCTGACTTCTATTGTATTTATCTAGTGTTCTCTTATTCTACGCCAATAATTAAGGCTGCTTTCTCAACAAAATATTATAGACTTAAATTGTCTTTTTGAATATTTTCTTGATACATATTTTGTTAGTTTAGTGTTTTTATTATCTACACCAATGATCTAGGTTCCACTCTTTATCAAAGGTTAAAGCTATACTTTTTTTTAAAAAAAAAATATCTACTGCCAATTGATTTTTTTATGGTGTTTTTACAGTCAAGACCAAGGATTATGTCTCTGCTCTCTATAATGGCTCACAGGTACAAAAATCTCTTTGATAATATTCATATTTCCAATTTAATTTGTGTAGTCCTATTATAATTCACGTCAACCATAAAGGTTCCGCTCTCTATTCAAAGTGGCAGACATATACGCCTCTCTACACATGTTTTACTGCCTATCGTATTCTTTTGTTTTGTATTCTGACTGCCAATTTCAACGATCTAGGTCCCCCCTCCATCAATGGTCAAAGGTATATCGACTTTTTTTTTAGAATGTTTTTTACTGGTGGTTACATATTCCTAGTATTTTTTACGGGAAAGTACAAAGATTGCGGTTTCTCCCTTAATTATGAGCCACAACTATATAAATTTCTTTAAATGATCTGTTGCTACGGATCCGATTTGTTTAATATTCTTTATAGACGAGTCTAAATATCATTATTCCGCTTTCCACAAAGTGTTAGAGGTATGACAGTCTTTAGATTAGTATTAATATTTACTTCTGAGACGGATTGTATTGGTTTATGCAATAAAGCGGCTCAGACTGTTAAAATAATAGCTATCGATCGCCTCTAACAACCTCTTATTATAAACATTGGCAATTGATAGTTTGCTCTCTCAAGAAATATAGAGGAAGAATACATGCCGTTTTACTGGATTTTTATTGCCTTCACCTTTCAATGTTTATATAGATATTTCGATCATTTATAAAATAAGACAATTGGTAAATTCTTTGCTACTTTTTTTTTGTATTGTTCATTAAACGATGGAGAACGAGAATCTTATATTATTTTAGAGACAGGCAAATATTTCTTCTGCTTCAATTGTTTGAATATTTAAAGTAATGATGACTGCTATACGGTTCCATATGAAATGTACCTCGTTAAAGTTCAGAAAAAAGTGTGCTTCCCATATTTTTCGAATTTCTCAACCTATAATCTGTAATAGGATGATACCAGAGTAGCGGGTTATTGACGGAGTGGGGGTTAAACAGGCGAATATTGAAGCTGGGTTAAATCTACAAGAAACATATTGCAAGCTTGTCTCCAAATGGTGGACTTAAGATTGCAAGCCCAAGAAGAATGGTTCTCGTCTTCTGGAAAGCCACACAAAAAGCAATTTGGATCATCGCGATTTTTTTATTTTTAGGGCAAACAATCACTGGTGACAAGGGATTTTGCTGTGTATAAGTATTAGTCATATGTTATATGTTTTCTGAGGGCATTCCAGCCTTCCAAAAGCGTTTCCACTAATCAGGGCTAGTCTGTTGAAAAAGTGATTGTATGACTATGACCGAGACTCGCTGAAAAAATTTCAATTACTTTTAGTGAAATATTCTGGGATAAACTATACTTTTTGAAAAATTAATGATTAAGAAAATAGAGAAATTGAAACAAATGAATATTTTTAGTGTTCATTGTCGTAATTCTTTGGATTTTCAATTTATATCTGCGTTAGATATAGAAACCTTGTTCTTCCCAATGCCTTGCCTTAATGAAGGTGTTTTTATAATTGATACAAGAAAGATTTGGAAAGATATTATATGGTTTGGTCAGCCGGAATTTTGAAGACGCACGCAACGTGGCAAGTATATTGCTAATATTTAAAGTAATTGTATTAATTTGTTTTATTTTGTTTTTCATAGAAGAAAGCTGTGCGTTTTGGAAGGCTGGCTATACTTTTACTTTAAGAAATATATGGGGGAATTAATTCTATAGAAATAATCAAACTAAATGGCAAGAACAAAAAAACAGAAAAATAAAAAGTATATTCTTCAGATAGTGTTGATTAAACGACTAGAGCTTTTTTTTTTCTCTAATCCTTTTCATCATCATATTTCTGAACTTTCCTATTGCTCTATCTTAAGATATATACACCTTATGAGGTACCCGGTTGCCAACAATAGTTACTGTATTTATCATAAAGTAGCAATACACCACAGTGGCATGTCTTGTTTAATTAAAATAGAAAAGAACGGGCTTAAGTGGAAAATAGATACAGAGGGGCCTTTTTATGACAAAGGCATAAAACTAATGCGTGTAAATTCGGTATTCAGCACTGATTTTTTGTTTATGAATTTGGGCATTGTATATCTGCATATCAGCTCATAGTATCGATGACATCTAATTTAGATGCGTTATTTCTAGTTATTTAACTTTTTCTAGCTCGTTTGACATTGTATTTAAAATAGAGAACCTTTAGTTATGCTACTGCTTTGTTTCGTAAAAAAAAAATAGAAGCTTTATTTTAGGTAACAAGCCTATTCCATTGATGACTTTGGGGGTTTCTTTTACACCTAAATTTTTATAGTGTATACCAGGATTTTCACTGCAAACGTTTGTTTTTTTTTAGATGATATAAGCCCCAAGATCAATAGTTTATTTGTACGCTGGCTATATGTGTAAAAGCAAAAGATTGCAATAATATTAGCTGTGGTAGAAAGAAATACAAAGACATGTAATAAATTATAGGAAATGATACTACTATCTATTATAAAGACATTTGAAGAGTCTCATAACTGGTTATGACAGGCACATGACAACACACTTTGTGTTATTATATAGCCGTTAAAAAAAGTATATAATGCGAAGCTTGCCATACTATTTTGAATCATACCTTTATCCTGTTTTACAAAATGAACTTCCAGTTCAGCTACTAGTATTCAAAGAAGAATAAAAACGGACCAAATATATTTCAATTAAAGCGTATTAAGAGCTTGATTATGAAGAATATATCGCACAATAGAGCCTAAAAAGCTAGGTGGATTACGAGAATAAAGCCAAAAGAATAGTAGTGACTACTCTAAGTTCATTTAGAACATTTTAGGATAAACATTGTACTACAACTCTTGATCAGATAATAGAAGATTTATGCAACGAATCTTCCTGAAACACAGTATCAAAACTTAAGGATCAGTGGCTCGCATAACCACAGTCCTTTTCTCCCCCTGTAGTCTCCATTTTTCAACCTAGTTGAAGAGTGTTTTTCAAAGCTCTAGACGCTAGTAAAGAAGATATCGTCAAATATCCTCGTCAGATTTCTCAAGAAAACTGACAAGTATGGGTTAAATATAGCATTAGCTTTTCTTTTCAGTGTACAAATAGCGAAGAAATCAATCAATCAATCAATCAATTTATTTATTTATTAATTTATTTTATATATATATATATAGTCGGAGTGTAAAAAAAGTATTGGCTCTGGTGTTTGTATGTTCTGAAGAAAGAATGAAAAAGAAATCAAACTTTTGGAGTGGAAATCTTGTATTTTGACTCTGATGAATCGACATGCAATTAGAGTCAATAGAGAGATAATTGCTTTTGATAAATGAATTCCCTTGTAATCTTTTTTTTTTTTACTAAAACTACAGAAAATGAAATAAAGGAATTTTGGTATCAATAATACCAATCCCAATTTTTAACAGGCCACATGGAGACGGGCGATCTTCTGTCGACCCTCTGTACCCCAATAGACTTCTTTTTGTATTCTTGTATTTTTCGGATATTTTGGACACCATCGAACCCTGACTTGCCACTAAAAGGACTATCCAGAGTTACCAGTGGTAACACCATTCTTATTTCTTATTTTTTATCCTTTTTTTTTCTTGGGTTGGTTGCAATGAAAGCATGTTATGTTCGAGAACCCCGTTTGAGGCCTGGTACATTGAGTCTTACACTGATTTGTGCGACATCATTACTGACAATGTTTCCCTTGAATAATTCAAAAAGGCTACTCGTTTTATTTTATTTTATTTTTTTAAAAAAAAACCTCTCTCTCTCTCTCTCTTTGTCTTAACTCAGTAATTGGATTGGGCTGTGCGTGATATTTGGAATAACGATTTTAGGAAACTGTAATGACCAATACTAATGTCATTTAACCTCTTTTGTTAAAATGGGTGTGAAGCTATTTTATGAAACCCAACTGTGTGGTTACCCTTCTTTCATACATAATATATATATATATGGCTTTCAAAGACCATTTCACAAAGGTTTTAATAAATAATGTCAACATCAGCAACAATAATAGTAGCGGAAAGGTGTAGAGCTGTAAAAGACTGTGACATATGGAGCTTAGGTTTAATTGCAAAGTAAGCTGTTCTTATTCAATTCTATACGTTATCCTTTTGGCACATATCTTTACATTCATTATCTCACTCTCATACACACTTATATCATTCAATTTAAGAATATTCTGTAATGCTTACACCACTGTGGTCTGTAGTGACGATATATCAAACCTCCCAAATTATGGACACAATATCCTGTATTCGTAAATGCTTCTAGTATGACATTTGCCTGCCTTTTATAATAGAATAAGTTTTGTTATATCAAACTTTACACACAAACAATTTTAGCTCTTGGAAATGAACAAAATTAAAAAATTTCCATTTTTCTTAATCTTTTGACTCCTCGTTGTGATCCATGACAGGATAGTACATTTGTATATATATATATATATGTTTGTTTGTTTTGATTATTTTTGCTTTGCTTACTCGAATGCCACTGATAATACCTACTATATCATTTATATAAAGACTCATACAGCAATTCATACAGCATATTGGATTAATTGGACTCCATTATAGTGCAGCTTATTATTGTTACTGTTGTATTTAATATATTAGCAAGAGAAATGCTAAATGTTGTTAGATTTCTGATGTGAAATGATACAATCATTTTATTTATTCACTCATAGATATACATTTATGATTTATCTTATTTGCCTTCTTCTTCTTATGTACTATCTATCAGTACTTTATCTGTAAGAGCTCTATTCTTTCTTTCTTTTATTAAATCACTCGTCAAAGCATATTAATTTGTAATCTTGTACATTTTACTTTTTTTTCTTTACCTTTCTCTTTACCTCTATCTCTGAATTTACCTCGCTAACATAAATGCACATACACACAGATATTCACACAGAAATGTAGACAATAGTGCGTGGGTGAAGGGGTTTTGTTTAGTAACTTCACCCAAATATATATATTATTATTATCAGAGACAGAGTTACGTTTTACAAAACGCATACACTATTTTTAGATTTCGCAACTTCTTTCCTTTTAAAATAGCGCATAGTTCAAAACGACCGTGAATAATTTTTTTTTAATAAAAAAAAAAGAAAAAAAAAGTCGTTTCATTTCATTTAATTTCATTTCTTTTTTTTTCCTGTCCTTCTTTCTCTTTCTCTTACTCTTCGTACTCTTCCTCTACTTCTTCAACTTATACTTCTTTAACTTTGCCTTTTCTCTCTTATATATATATTTATATATTATATATTTATATATACATATATCATTTACTATTCCCGCACACCTACATATATAATATATATAATATAATACAATATAGATATATATATATATATATATATATACACAATATATATACATAAGCATATCCGTTTCTGATATCTGTTTCTTTTTTTAAAAAAAAAACAAACAAGTATACAAGTATATAAACGAAAAGAAAAAAAAGAAAAACATGTCACAAGACGACCGTACATTATATTTTGCTTCACTATGTGAACAACTCTATATTCCAAAGTCGCCTCAAGAACGCGAGAATATTCAAAAGATATTAGAGTATTCCTTCCCTACATTTGCAGATGAGGCTGGCAGTGGAATTGCGATTGGAATGCCACCAGTTTTGGATGGCAGGCAGTCATTTGTCATTACATCTCCCACAGACACTGCATCTGCCCTGAGAGTCCTTTTGGAGAACTCACCTAGTCCCTATGTACAGACCTTTAGTTTGTCCCGGCTCAAGCAACTCATCAGTGCCCAGTTTTCTATTTTTGATGGAGAAACAAAACTTCAACTCCGTAAGTTTAATCCTTTCCACCCGTTCTACCCTCACCCTTACTATTATATTATATTATATTATATTATATTATAGGTACGTTTTTATTGGAGTATGCCTTTATGCACCCAGATCTTCAACCATTTGTAATCACTCAGCTGGCAAGTGTACTTGCTCTGCTGACCCGTCTGGGTTGGCAAGATGTAGAGGAGTACAGAAATGTCCAGCAAGACATTAACCAGTTTTATCAAGTAAGTTTTCTTGGATTTTTATTTGTTTGGTTGTTTGGTTATTTTAATCAAACATATATACATACATAAATACATAAATATAAAATAGGCTTCTGTGGATCATCGTATCGTTGGCATGCAAATCTTGGCAATTATAATTCAGGACATCAATGCACCTAGTCCTCCTCGTAATTCGGCAAAGTTCAGAAAGGCTGGTGAGTTTCTTGTCTCTTTGGTGTCTTTTCTTTATCTTGAAAGATAAGAAATAATAAATATACATATAAAACAAAACAAAAAACAACAACAACAACAACAACAACAAAAAGGGGTAGGGGTAAAGGGATATTATAAGAAATCAATCAATAAATAAACAAATAATTAGAGTATAAGAAAGGCTGTTATTTAAGCATCAAAATGGAAAAAATATATATATAAAGAGGGGGACTGAGTGGGATAAAGACAGCAACCCAAAAAAAATAAATAAAAGAAATGAAGGCTTTTTCGGTTTTATGATCATGATAACCAATTAATCAATCGTTCAATGAATCAATCAATTCATTTTTCTTTAGCTGGTGGATTCAGAGATACACAGCTATTCAGTATATTTGAATCAGCGTTCGAGACTCTTGAAGGTCTCTTGCAGCGCACAATACCATTTGAAAAAGGTAAATTTGATTTAAAATAATATAATGGAATGTTGGATTGGATTGGTTTTGTTGGACAGTTTTAAACCTTATTTTAATTGCACACACACAATATAAATATCTTTATATTTATATAAATACATACATACATACATACATACATACATATATACATTAGCTGGACAGGAGGAGCGTATGAGAGATGCTACATTAAATGTATTGGTTCGGTGTCTCTCCTATGACTTTGCTGGCACAAGTCTGGATGAAGCAGGAGAAGACATTGGTACTGTTCAAGTAAGTTTGCATATAATCATAACCATAACCATAATGATAATCCTAATCCTAATGACTTATTTATTTTTGAAAAGATTCCCGCAACTTGGCGTCCAATTTATGAGCGTGACAACTTTTTGCCTATATTTTTCACTGCCTACCGTGAATTCTCGCCTCCTCATTCTTCAAAGGTGATGGAATGTCTTGTCCAGATTGCCTCAACCCGCAAGGCACTGTTCAGTGTCGAGGCCGAACGTGCAAAGTTTATTTCGGGCATGATGCAAGGAATCCGGGACATCATCGTGACTTCCCAAGGCATGAACAACACTGACAACTACAATGAGTTTTGCCGGTTCTTGCATCGCTTCAGAGCATCGGCTCCTTTAAATGAACTGACTGAGAAACATGATTATATTGAGCTGATTGAACTCATTGCTGATTTTACACTCAAAGCATTTCAATCCTGGAAAGTAAGTAAACCAAAACAAGTTATATATATATATATATATATAATAAGAGAGAATAAAGGCTAATTGTTGCTCTTACTCCTTTTTACTGTCATTATGACTATTCTTGTCTATTGCCATTGCTGCTATAGTGGGCACCAGATACTGCTTCCTATTTACTTGGATTCTGGTCCCGTAATGTCAACAGCATGTCATATTATCAGAAATTAGGAGAGGCTACAATCCAAAAGTTGGAAAATATCACAGTCGAGGTAAAACGGAACACAATTATACATACAAATACAAATACAAATATAAAGGGGGGTTATATACTGACTCTCTCTCTCTCACACACACACACATATATATATATATATATAGTTGACCAGAACATATGTATCAGCTCAAGTTGAATCCGTAGCAACTCGAATTGAAGAAGGATTGGATGGTAAGGCTCGAATGAGTCCTTCTATGTTTTTATATATACTTTTGTGTGGGTCTGTGTATTGAGCTATCTATAATTATTATAATATTGTATATGTAGATCCTTTGGAAAACGAAGATGCTTTAGTAGAGACTCTTGGGATGCTCGGACAAATTGCACGATGTAAATACGAAGAATCAAGTGCTGCCCTAGTTGCTGTTTTTGATCCAATTGCTCTTCAATACCAGGTAAATGCCTACATCTTTACTATTATTATTATTCTTAAGGGAGATGGAGGAGAAGAAGCAGGAGTGGTGGAAATGAAAAGGAGGATGACAAAGAAAGAAAGAAAAAAATTCAAGTAATGATAATGATGATAATAATAATAACAATAATAACAATTCGCTAATAAATCAAACTTTATATTCTTACTGTTCTTTATTATACAGGAGCTGATTTCTCAAGCGTCCTCGGGTATGAGTGGCGAAGAATTCAAGGAGGCTTTGGAAGTGATTGAAACAAAATTTGCATGGTTGGTCTATGTGATTTCTGCCTTTGTTGGTGGAAGACCTGTAAGTGAATATATATATATATGTGTGTGTGTGTGTGTGTGTGTATGTGTTTATTTACTCTATTGTATTTTAACGTAGGCTTATTTGAGCTCTGATGATTTGGATGCCATTGACGGTGAATTGACTGTCAAGGTTCTTCAGTTGATGGAAGTTAATCAGATACTGCAAAACCAACATGGTGCGGCCGTGTTGAACCAGAAACTTGATACCGCATTTGTGTACTTTTTCCAACAATTCCGTAAATCGTACATTGGAGAATCCAATGGAAAGTCTGTAAGTATCAAAGAGTACTAGTATATTACCCTTATTACTATGTGTGCTTTGAATTGAATTGAATGCCTAATTCAATCAAACCAAAGGTCTATAAAAAGATGACAGAGATGTTTGGTGTAAGCGATCAGGTGACTATGCTGAATGTGATTATGCAAAAGATGTAAGTTAATTAATAATAATAATAATAATAGAAAGCACGCATATATATATATATATATATATATATGTGTGTGTGTGTGATTTTAACTTAATCTAAACTTTTATATATAAATTATTTTATTAATTCATTAATTCATTAATTAGTATCAGCAACCTGCAATTCTGGGGTGACAATGAGCTGGTTATCCGACGCACTCTTGAACTGTTCAACGATCTGGCTGGTGGATATAGTGCATTGAAGAATCTGCGTAAACTCGACACAACCCAACTGATCTTACAGAACCACATGTCAAGCGAGTTTGCATTCTTTGAGAGCGAGAAACATCGTCAGAACCGGATGCTGTACTACCAGGTTCTGTGCAAGATATTGTTTGCCGAAGATAATTGCGAGCGAGAGTTTATTGAGTTTATGAAACCGTTTGACTTGCGGTTCAAGAGTCTTGCCAGTCTTGACAGTGTGGAAGCCTTTCGACAGGAACATGTGCGGGTAAATATTCTAGACCAAAGCATCAAGAGTATTATTATTATTATTATTATTATTATTATTATTATTATTATTATTATTATTATTATTATTATTATTATTAAACAAGAGAAAGAAAGACAATATTTTTGGCAGAATTATAAATCTAATTTAATTTAATTTAATTTAATTTTATTTCATTTTGTTTTGTTTTATTTTATTTTAGAGAGCGCTGCAGGATCTATTCCGTGACCTGAGGGGATTCATTACACCAATCCAGAGCCGACGAAACTTTACGTTGTTTTTTGAATGGTTCTATCCAGACTATATGCCTATCCTTTTGCGCGGACTGGAGGCATGGTCGCCCACACCAGTGGCTAATACTCTCTTGAAATTCTTTGCCGAATTTGTACACAACAAGAGTCAACGGCTGAATTTCGAGATTTCTTCTCCTAATGGAATTCTTATCTTTCGTGACACCAGCCAGATTCTAACCACGTATGGATCCCGTGTACTGGAGCAACAGATTACAGACGAAAGCCGGAAATACCCATTCAAGTAAGCCATTAGTATTATATATAAACAAAACAAAAAAAAAAAGTATTTTAGACAGTTATTTTGTGTACCATGTATGCTATTGACAGAAATTACTATAAACAGATATAAAGGAATTTCGATTTGCTTCACTATCCTATCTCGATGCATGGGGGGACGATACATAAACTTTGGCGTATTCTGGCTCTACCAGGACAAGGCTATTGACGAAGCATTTAGTATGATTTTCCAGTTGATGCTGAGCATTCCACTGCAAGATCTCATGGTATGTATTTTATATATATATTTATATTTATAGTATTTTATGATAGTTTTAGAATATAGAGGGAGGAGACACAAGGGACAGGGGGTGGGGGACAAGGAGATGTGCTGCTGTGTGCTGCTGTGTGCTGCTGTATGCAGCAATGTGCTATATACTAGAGCTCATTTCTATACAGATGTGCATGCATATGTATATCTGTATGTGTATATTTTCTGCTTGTTTGTTTTTTGTTTTTTTTTTTTGGTACTGCACTATCTATAGTGCAGTGTGTACAATATTCACCAACCTTTATTACTATTATAAATGCATGTATATTTATATATTCATTTGTTTTGTCTATTGTTATTTTTTATTTTTATTTTTATTTTTCTATATAAAAAAAAGGGATTCCCAAAACTTACAAAGGCATTCTTCAGTATGCTGGATGACTTTACCCACGAGCAATTCATGGCCTTACCTAGTCTGTCCCCCGATACATTCTTGTACATGATGCGTGCGTGTGAGCAAGGGGTAGAATACACCGAAACATGGGTGCGTTCGCATGCCTGTTCAGCTGTCAACAATGTCACCAGCTTTGTGGCAAAGGAGACTGAGAAGGCAGAACTTCTTCAACGGACATCCCTAGTCAGAAACATCAACAACAACAACAATAATAATAATAATAATAGCAATAATAGTAATAATAATAATAATAGCATTAGTAACATCATCGGCATCAATAACAATAATAATAACCTTAATAGCAATAATAGTAATAATAATAATGATAGTAATAATAACGATAGTAGTAGTAATAGTAACAGTCTCCTCAGTACATCCCCTGATCTGATGGTTGATCGCAGACGTTCTTCGGTTGCATTTCCTTCCACACACTGGCTGATGGGATACTTGGTCCAGTTCCCACAAGTTCTGCCCTCGTTGTTTGCAACTCTGTTTGGGCTGATTTTATTTGATGACAATACAGAGCAGTGGTCTCTTTCACGGCCACTATATTCCATTATGCTACTCCAAAAAGAGGTAACCACAACTATAATCATAATCATAATCATAATCATGATTAATTTGTCATTAACCTTCTTTTCTTGGTTCAATATTTCAAAAGTATGCTATAAAATACACAAGTGAAGTCATCAATCGCCAATTACCCGAGCGTCGTGAGTTTGTTGCAAAGGTACTGTCGTTTATTAATATTTTTTTTTAAAAAAAAAAAAATTAGTTAGTTAGTTATTGATCTTTCTAATATAATTCTTTTAGGCCCTGAACAATCTAATGGATGGAATTAATTGGAGTTTGTGTGTCAAGGACCGCGAACGATTCTCTCAAAATGTATCGGCTTTCAAGAGAGAACTCAGTATGAACAACGTGGTTTTGGTACCTCTTTCGCCGCCAAACTACAATTAAAAAAAAAATACATAAAATACAAAGAACATATCATATGTATGTATATGCACAACCAAAAAATAAATAAAATAAAAAATCAACAGTCACACAGCCAAACAGTCAAACAAACATGATATATATAGATATAGCAACAACAACAAACATGTGTACTTGTGCTTGTGTTTATGTTTGTGCTTGTGCTTGTGCTTGTGCTTGTGCTTGTGCTTGTGTTTATGTTTGTGCCTCTAGTGTGTGTGTGTGTGTGTGTGTGTGTGTGTACGCTTGTGTACTTGTGCGTGTGCTAGTGTGCGTGTGTGCGTGTGTGTATTGCTTTGCTGGTGTGCTGGTGCGATAGTGTGATAGTGTGTGATAGTGTGATAGTGTGATAGTGCGTGCTGGTACCTGTACATATGTGTACATATGTGTACATATGTAATGTGTATGCACAGTCAAACCTATGGAATTTGGCGTTCTTTCAAAAATAAATGTCGGGCATACACATTTATCGGTCGGAATTACAAGGTTAAATGTCGGCAAATAAAACATAAATGCTAGGAGTTTAAATTGCTTTTTTGTCAATTTTTTTTTTATTTTGATTAAAACAATTGTCGGAACTGGCTAACTAAAATTGGCGGGAAGATTGCGCCTAATTGTCGAACCTGTTCTTTTTTGGTGTCCCTCTCTTTCTTAATAAAACTATAATATAATGATGAATACCCCCCCCCCCCCCCTCCACCCCCACCTTTTTTTTTTTTTTTTGAATATAACGATGGACAGAAAAACGGTTTTTTAATGGAGTATGAGAAAAAGGTCTGCAATTCGATGGAGGATGTTTTAACACATGGCGATGATTCCAACATAGCTCTTGAAACAAATAACTAGACAACAAAATTACTTGAATATTAAGCGGCCCTAAAAAGTTACTGAACAAGCCCTCAGTTAAAAAGCATTACAAAGGGATAGAAAAGGTTGTGTATAGAAATATAGTAAAACAACAAAAAACTAGAGCGCAATCTCATACTATTGTGTAAATGAAGAGAATGATCTTTAATTCATGGCTTAAAAGCGTAAAGTAAATAAAGATTGCAACATCGCCAACACATACAAAATAAAAATGTTTGGATAAAAACAAAAATTGAACTTATTTATTTTTACGATAAAACAGTAGAGTAATCCTGACTGATGACTTGTTTAACAATTGCTTATTTTTTTAAATATATATATTAACAGTACTGATAGTAATTAAGAATCTTTTTTTTTTTTTGGTATATATTTCTTCAAACGATGGCCATTTGAGCACTTATTGAACAGGCCATGTTTCTTTCCTTCTTCTTAAGACGCAGATCAATTCATTCAACCTTTGTTATTCTGCTTTCAAGCATCGATAAATGCGATCAAAGAAAAGTATTGATACTCTGTTCGGTCAGTATGAAGCAACCAGTTGCAAAGTGACAGCAAGGTGTTTCTAAGAGGTAAGGCTTGTTCTGGATAAATTCGAAAAGGTCTCTCAGCTTTGGGTTCTGTTTTTGAGGCATAGACAATGAATAAAATTGGTAAAACGTGGAAACGCTTGTACACATTCAGGTAGTACTGGACGACTCGGCACATAAACTCACCTGTCACTGTGTGTTGTGTTTCCAGTATTGCAGGAGGTAAAGTTGGTAAGATTTTCTGGTGAGGGACGACATTTTGATTCTACCAGACTACAAATCGGGACCCTTTTGCTGACATGAAATACCTCTATCTGGTTCCTAAGGATACATAATATTCGTATAAAGACTCTCTTTTGTGTATTGCAAAAAGAGAAAGACACGATACGTGTAAGGATAATAAATAATAAAATATCAAGCGAGATTGCGTTACACTCTAATGACAAGAACTCATACTGTTCTGCATAACTGGCTATTGATATAGTGTATTTGTAACTAATCATTGTTTCTTTATTGTCAGCTCAAAATTCAGGGCTACTAACTGAATATACGATATTTGATTCTTCTTTTTTGTATGAGACAACATTGTATTATTAAATTTCCCAGATACAGCTGTAACTCTTAAAATAATGAGAGTTAGGTGCCTGGAGAGAGAGATAGATAAACACAAAGAATATATTATTGTTCGGGACATGCCATTTTTACCCTTACAGGATTAGAGAAAGTCATCGGGTCACAGACAGGTAGTCACATTTCATTAGTCTGGTTAGATAGAAACGTCGTCCCTATAAGATTGATGCTGTATTTTTTATTAGTAAGAAAGAGAGGGACACCAAAAAAAGAACAGGTTCGACAATTAGGCGCAATCTTCCCGCCAATTTTAGTTAGCCAGTTCCGACAATTGTTTTAATCAAAATAAAAAAAAATTGACAAAAAAGCAATTTAAACTCCTAGAATTTATGTTTGATTTGCCGACATTTTTTTTTTTTTTTTGAGAAAACGCCAAATGCCATAGATTTGGCAGTATGTATGTAGTTGTAGGGTGCACATGCGTATAAGAGTGTGCCTGTCTGTTTTTGATTTCTACTACAATTTAAGATTATGTACTACAAACTCCTAAAATATAATATAATTATAAGCGCATGTGTATGTATGTGTGTATATCAATTTTTATTCATTTGATTTATTTGCTTTGGTTTGCTTTGGTTTGCTTTGATTTGATTTGGTTTTGGGGGTGTGCGTGTTATTTTATCTTATATTTTATTTTTATGATTTTTTTTTTGGTGATTTAAGAGGAGAGTGCTACACGTTTATCTTGTTGACGATCAGGTAAAGGAGATTGGTTTGACTTGGTTTCGTCTTCCAAAACACGTTTCATGGGGACAATTTTGAGTTCTTCCATTGGAGTAGGAGGCGGAGGAGGAAGATCTAATGGACGATGTGGAGATTGACGTGGACTCTCGAGTGGATGGTGATAATGCTGTTGCTGCTGTTGTTGCTGAAGTATAGAATGATGATGTTGTTGATGATGATGTTGATTATTATTATTGCTATTGCTATTGCTGTTGCTATTATTATTAGTATTGTTGTTATTACTATTGATGATGTTGTTGTGGTGATGATTGTTGTGGTGATGACCATTGAGAATTGGAGGGGTTCGTCTACCACCGGACTTGTCAATTATCATTCTTTTCCGATGATCTTCTGCTGGGCTTGGGGGAGAGCGTGAAGAAGAAGAAGAATTGATGTTGTTGTGATGAAGATCTGGCATCTTTGGACGTGAATCTGGACGGACACTTCGGCGGTCATACTCTGAGTATCGGTCGGCGTCATAGATAATCGAGGTCCTTCGAAGAGGTTCGGCATCATAGTGGCGTGTGTAGAATGGACGTGGTGAATGACTGCTGGATGAAGGTGTGGAAGGTCTGACGTGGAAAGGCTTGACGACAGGCGATGGAGGGTGACTTGGTAGAGGAGATGGATGGCTGCTGTGCGGTAAAGAAGAGGAGTGGGGATGCGAAATTGAGGAAGAAGTAGGAGGGGGAGGGGGAAGTGAATGGTGAGGAAGAGGATGGTGAGGAAGAGAGTTTGGATTAGAATTAGAATTAGAATTAGAGTGGGAATGTGAGTGTGGATGTGGATGTGGATGTGAATGAGGTTGAAGATTAGAATGAGGAAGAGAAGAGGCAGATGATGGAGCAAGAGCAAGAGGGGGAGGAGCACCAGGACCAGCACTGGCAGAAGAGGAAGATGATGAAGAAGGAGGGAGAGGCAGAGGAGGCAGCGAAGGAAGGGGTTTGTGGTGCGCTTGTCTGGAGTGAGGTCGAGGATCAATCATCAGAGGGTTCATCTGGACACGTTCGGAAGGTGTTGGGGCGCGTCCACCGCCAGAGCCGATATCGGGAATGCGAACATCGTCATGACGCTGGTGGTATTGGTTGACGGGAGAGCGATCCGGCATTGGGAGATCCCTTGGAGGGTCCTATAGAATACACATAGAAGATTAATATATATAATATTATATAATATTATATTATGAAGCTTACCATTGCCGGCATGCGGCGGTCCAAGGCCAGATGGGCAGCCGAATAATGACCAGGTGCCTGAGATCCAAGGGAGGACGACAACTGATGAGGGGGTTGAGGGGTGTTTTGGTATTGATAGGGGTTGACGTCTTGAGGGATGAGATTATGGGGTCCGCCTGCTCCACCATTTCCACTTGCTCCTGCTCCAGCTGCTGCTCCTGTTCCTGTTCCTGTTCCTGCTCCTGCTCCTGCTGTTCCTGCTGTTCCTGCTGTTCCTGCTGTTCCTGCTCCTGCTGTTCCTGCTCCAATTCCAGATCCAGCACCAGGTCCAGCACCTGCACCTGCACCTGTGCCTGTGCCTGTGCCTGCACTTGCACCTGAACCTGAACCTGAACCTGAACCTGAACCTACTCCATTTCCACTACCTCCACCATTAGCTCCCAAAGGTGTATTGGGGTAGCTACAAAACAAACCAAATAAATAAATATTGAAAGCATTTATATTTCTTTCTTTTCTTTTTTTTTGTTTCTTTGTTTGTTTGTTTGTTTGTTTGATGATTTTACCTTGTTTGTGTTTTTCTTAGCCAGTCCAGACGTTGTTTGATGTGGGGATTGTTGGGATCGAGTTCACTTGCGCGCTGGTAGGCATCGAGGGCGTCCTTGACTTGGTTGTTGCATGATTCATAGAGAGTGCCGAGATCGTACCAGACTTCGCTGATATATGGGTTGAGACGGATTGCTCTGCTGTAGGCATCCAGGGCATCTCGGTACTGGTTGATTTGGTAGTATAGGACGCCGATTGAGCACCAGAAGGTTGGGTTGCGAGCGTCGCGGTAGACGGCCTGCTGGTATGCTTCGTAGGCCTTGTTGTAGTTCTGTTCGGCCATGTAGCATCTGCCGAGCAAGTACCAGGACTGGGCGTCGTTTGAGTCGGCCTTGAGAGATCGGGTGAGGAATTGGATGGCCATGGCCTGGTTTGTAAAGGAGGTGTTTTGTTGGTGGAATAGCCAACCGAGCTGCTGGAGTACTTTTGCATGATCGGGATTATCGGCCAACACACGTTCATAAGCATCTTTGGCATGTTCATACTATATTATATTATATTAGATTAGATTAGATTTGATTTGATTATATAAAGTGAATTACCTCCTTTTGCTGTTCATATACATGGCCTGTTTGGAACCAGATGTCGATTTCAGTTAATGGACGAGGAGGGTTATGGAGGATGTAACGAAAGCACTTTGAAAGAAAGATTAATAAAAAAAATTTAAGATTTTAAAGAAAAAGAAAAAAAAAAGACTTACTTGTAGACTAAGATCAAATTTTTGTTGTTGCTTGTATATGATGCCAAGCCGAAAGTAGATTTCATTTGACTTTTCAAACTTTGGGTCCATCTTCATTACGGCAGAAAAGGCTTCTTCGGCATGTTCGAGAGAGCCGTAGCGATCATAGAGTATTCCGATGCCATACCACAATTTAGGGTCTTTTGGGTTTGAGAGGTGGTAGAGAGCCTGTTGGTAGGCCTGGTAGGCCTCCTGTAGATTGTCCATCATAAGATAACAGTGCCCGAGAGCGCTCCATGTTTCTCCGTGATTTTCTTGTGTTGCCAAGATACGTTTAAAGTAATCCACGGCCTAGTAAAGATTGTTTTATATATATATATAGCTACTATTTTAGTCATTTGAAATAATAATAATAATAATTTTACCTTTGGGAATTCTTCTCTTCCCCGGCAGAGAGAGGCAATGTGGGAAAGGGCGCTGACTGAGTATGGATTGTGTCTGAGGGCAGATTCGTACGAGGCCATGGCTCTGTCCCAATCAGCCATCAATTCGGCCAGACTGCCTAGAAGAATTCAAATAATATAATATGAGTATTGTTTTTTTTATAATAATGTATATAAAAAAAAAAGAAAAAAGAAAAGCATTTGTTCCAAAAAAAGAATAAATGTGGCGTCTTTTTTTTTGGTATTATAAAAATAAAATAAAATAAAAGAGGGGAAAAGAAGAAAAGAATTACTATTGCTATATTTGGACAAGTGGGATTACAACGTTAAAGTGAGCCCGTCCGACACTATCTCTTTTATATATAAGGTATATAAATTATTGTGCCATGTAATATATTATTGTATATATTAAAAAAAAAACTATAATAAAATATATTACATATGTATTTCAATCAATAAAATACACACACACATGTATGTATGTATATAAATACAAATCTAATAATATAATATAAAAATATACTACTAATATTTATTCTTACATATACATACAAAATAATAATAATAATAGAAATGTATATATATATATATTTTTTGGTTGTTGTATTGAATGCGCCTTTTTTTTTTTTTCTTTTCTGCTATCTATAATCATTCAATACAATACCAGTTTTATGCTGCTAATACTCACCAAGACTAAGCCAGGCTTGTTCGTTGACTGCGGACAGTTTGTGTACAATCGATGGTGGAGGGGCTGACATGACAAAATATATAATATATATATATATTTTTCGTATGTATCAAAACTAATACTATTTGATGTTGATATGAAATATTATTGGTTCTGTTGTTACTGTTACTGTTGCTGTGGTTGCTGTGGTTGTTTTTGTATGTAATGTATATATATATATATATATATATATATATATATTGTATGTATAGAAATTTGTAAAGATGCCTAACAACAGAAGAAGAGTAATAAAATAATAAAAAAAAAACAAAGAAGAAGAAGAAGAAGAAGAGCAAAAACAAAAAAAAAACAAAAAAAATAAAAACCAAAAAAGAAACCAAAAAAAAAAAAAAAAAAAAAAAAAGAGTAAAAGAGTAAAAAGGAAAAAAAACCAAATAAATAAAAAAAGATCTTTTTTTTTTATATATATGTATTTTTTAAATATATAATATAATATAATACATATATATAAATATAGAATAAGAATAGAAAAAAGAAAAAAAAAAAAAAAAAGTCTGATAAAAGGGAGCGCAAACCCTTTTCTTTTTTCTTTTTTCTTTTTTATACCCGGAACCTATTTTTATTGATTTTATTTTATTTTTCGATTTCAAAACTAAAAAAAAAAAAAAAAAAAAAAATTTAAATTTTTTTTATGGAATTCAATATAAATAAACAATATAACCCTATTTTTAATTTTAATTTTAATTTAAATAATTTTTATGGAAATTTAGGCCCCACTCTCTTATTCATTCATTTCACCCCCCTCTTTCCCCCACCCTTTCTTTCTTTAACAATCTTCACTTCCTTCCCCCCCCCTCTTCTTTTTTTTATTTTTCCCCCCCAAAAAACAAAACCCA